TTCAGTACCATAGACCACATACATACCCTGCGGCAGATTGTACAGAAGACTGAAGAGTACAATTTGTCACTTTGCCTGGCGTATGTGGACTATGAGAAAGCCTTTGATTCCGTCGAAATTTGGGCGGTGCTGCAGTCCCTTCAGCGGTGCCAAGTTGACTGTCGGTATATCGAAGTGCTGAAGTGTTTGTACAGTAGGGCTACGATGGCTATCCGAGTACAGAACCAGAGCTCGAAACCTATCCAACTGCAGAGAGGTGTAAGACAGGGTGACGTTATATCCCCGAAACTCTTCACCGCTGCTTTGGAAGACGTTTTCAAGCTACTGGACTGGAAAGGATACGGTATTAACATCAATGGCGAGTACATCACTCACCTTCGATTTGCCGACGATATAGTCCTTATGGCAGAATCGCTGGAGGACTTAAGCACTATGCTCAATGACCTCAATAGTGCCTCCCAACGGATAGGTCTTAAGATGAACATGGACAAAACAAAGATTATGTTTAATGTCCATGTCACACCTATGCCGGTAGTTGTTGGAAGCACTGTGCTCGAAGTTGTTGACGAGTACGTTTACCTGGGACAAATATTCCGATTAGGTAAGTCCAACTTCGACCGAGAGGTCAATCGACGGATTCAACTCGGCTGGGCAGCGTTCGGGAAATTACGACATATCTTCTCGTCAGGTATACCTCAATCTCTGAAAACTAAAGTGTACAACCAGTGCGTGTTGCCAGTGATGACTTACGGATCAGAGACGTGGTCCTTCACTGCTGGCCGTATGAGGACGCTCAAGGTCGCTCAGCGAGCTATGGAGAGGGCTATGCTCGGAGTTTCTCTGCGTGATAGACTCAGAAATGAGGATATCCGCAGTAAAACCAGATTGACCGACATAGCCCAACGGATTAGTAAGCTGAAGTGGCAATGGGCCGGCCATATAGCTCGAAGAACCGATAACCGATGGGGAAGAAAGGTTCTCGAGTGGCAGCCTCGTACCGGTAGGCGTAGTGTAGGGCGACCCCCCACTAGATGGAGTGACGACCTGGTAAGATATGCAGGAAGTCGATGGATGCAGGTGGCTCAGGACCGTGCTTTGTGGCATTACTTGGGGGAGGCCTATGTTCAGCAGTGGACTTGTGAAGGGCTGTGATGATGATGATGATGATGATGTGGTAAGTACTGAGAGGAGACGTGCCAAGTATCACGGCAAAAGTGATGGATTGATTCCAGTTGTATTTTGAAGGAATATTTCGGAACTCCTCGTCTATGCTATTTTAACCGATAAAATCCAAAAAAGTGTTACTACTAATGTCCATCCGACGGAGCTTGTGCTAGTTTGTAACCTTTATTTACACAAAAAAAACTTTTCTTATTCACAGGATCATCCCATATTCCGCAATGGAGAGAGAGCACGCCGCGCCTTATCGTTTGTGCCAACTACAAAAAGTTCTTCCGACACCCTAATTGACCTTAAAGCTATTAGACACTTGAAAGTATTAGACGACGAAGATAAATTATGATCGAAATTTCGTAAAGAAATATTTAGTAATAAAAATGCAAAAAGAAACACAAATTGCGCAGTTAATAAAGAAGTTCATGTTGAGTTGCCGTCCTAAGAGGACGGACTTGATGATCTGATAAAGACTAATAAATAGATGTGGTTATGCACGAATGATTAAAAAATTTTGATGTAGAGAAAACTTTATCAAACCAAAATATTAATCAAATGCACTTTTACAAAAATTGGTTCAAAATTGTCCCAGACTATGAATATCACGTCTGAATTTAGAAAGTATTACTTAGTAAATCATTTATGCGTAACTGAATCCTATTAAATGGACGCTATTTCAGTACTTAAACGTAGGTAAGTTAAAAAATAAAAACTATTGTAAAAATATATACCAGAATGATAGATATTGTTTTTTTTTAAATAATTATAGCAAAAGAAATTTTCTATGTGATTGATAGATATAATAATTTTATTTTTTATGTTTCCAGTTTTAATATTGTAGAATAAAATAACACATAACAAAAGTTTTTAGTTCTATAAAACTTGTACATGATGTATCTACATTCTGCAGTCTGCACCCAGCAGTTCCTTTGGGAGATATTGTGGATAATAATACTTAATAATGATATTAACTAATGATAATAGTAAACTGTCCAAAAATATAGTTATTAATATAATTTAAGAGTTCTTAGCATTCATATTATAAAATGAAATTTTATCATAGTGCTTTATAGCGGTGGTGAAAATTATTGAAGTTAGATGAATCGAATGTATTTAATGACAATTATAATAGAACCTCTTTTGGATTTGGTTACGAGATGTGCAACAATGTTTCGACTATGAATGAAACGCTTGATTTTTGTATATAAAAATTTAATGATATTTAATAAAAATAAATAATTGTACTATTATGCTTTTTTCATTTGATATTATTTCTTTGCTGACTTCCTCTCGGCCGCTGCCTGCATTTTTTTCTGAAGCTTTTTGAGCTGAAAGTGACATGGATGGGAGAAGGATAAGAAAAGGAAATTGAAATACATGGATTTTTTTAGGAAAAAGAGAAGCTCGGATTTTAATTCTTCTTTTTACCTTTTCTAGGTCTTCCTTTATGCTGCGAGAAGTGTTATAATTTATTTATCTTCAGCACAAAATATTCTTAAAGTCATTATAGCATCAGAACAAAAGCAATAATTTTAAATTTATACAGTATATGTCCAATCTGTGTCCCCTGGCAGGTGATTAAGCTGGAGAATGGTCACTTTAGTGTTAAGCAAATAAAACATTATTATTATTATATATTTTAATCTAAATTACGTAGTTGTAGTCGTGATTGCAATTGGCCAGAAGTGCGCCATCATCATCATTTTGCAGTGGTAGAGCCACGCGGCAGCTTTGCAGTTGCACGTATGTGCCGGTTCAAACCGGGGTGGTACCACGACCTCACAGAATACCCGCGTGAAGTGGAAGCTCAGCTTCTGCGTTTCGTCTGGTGAGTGTAGTTGGCCGGAGGCCCTCCCCCCTCCCTTTAACGTGGTAGCGGAATTAAGTGAAGATCTACCCCAGGTGGGTACCAGCACTCCTGGATAATCCCTCGCTGAGCATCCACGACCAAGTTACTCCACTCCTGAGCGTGGGTGCTCAGGCTGCCCCGCGTATTCTGAGGGGGGGGGGCAGAATTCCGCTCAAGACAACAACTGCTCGGGACAGATCGAGCAACAAGACCAAGGCGGCAAACTGGAATACTCCTTTGGGCCTCGGGCTGGAGTTTGCGTATACGTCAAAAAACTGTTCTCGATGCCTCGGCAGTCTTGAAAGTTCGAAACTATCCATCCTTTGGCTACACGTAGACAGCAACGACCAGCGCGTCTACGGGTGCCTCTTGTGCGTCGACTCTTCGACCTGACGGTATACGGCCAATTGTGCTGCAGACGTGTGCTTCAGAGTTGGCACCGGTCTTAACTCGTCTTTATTGGTACTCCTACTCTCTAGGCGTAGTCATGGAAGACGGCTTTCGTCCACCCGATCCCTAAAAAAGTCGACTGCTCATACCCATTTATCCTTCCCATCGCCATCACCTCCTTGTTCTCCAAAACAATAGAATCCATTGTGAACTCATGAAGTACCTACCTTGAGAATCACCAGCTGATTAGTGATCGCCAATACGGTTTGTAGTGGTCAATCAACTGGTGATCTTCTGGTCTACATGACTCCTAGATGGGCGGCGGCAGTAGAGTCCAAGGGGGATGCATTGGCCGTTAGTTTGGACATTGCGAAGGCCTTCGACCGGGTTTGGCACAAAGCGCTTCTTTCGAAGCTCCCTTCCTATGCGCTTCCCGGGAAATTGTGCAATTGGATCACCAGCTTTCTTGCAGATCGGAGCATCAAGGTCGCTGTAAACGGTGCAAGCTCCGATTACAAGTATATTAATGCTGGTGTTCCACAAGGCTGCGTGATATCACCAACGTTGTTTCTTCTGCATATCAATGATATGTTCCAAACCTGTAACATTCATTGCTATGCAGATGACAGCACTGGTGATGCTCTGGACACCGGCCGAGCCAAAATTTCTCGGTAAATCGTCTCCGAGTACCGGGACAAACTTGTGTCTGAATTCAAGTCTTTGCTGAACAAAGTCTCGGATTAGGGGCGACTAAATCTAGTCCAGTTTAACCCTCAGAAGAAACAAGTTTGCGCGTTTGCGCTAAGAAGAATGTTTGTCGTATCTCCTTTGTTTCAAGGCACTCCCCTTGTTGCCTCAGCCAGTATCGGAATCCTCGGCGTCAACATATCGAGTGACGTGCAGTTTCGTGGACACTTGGCCGAGAGGGACAGTATTTCATGCTGGCACACCTGCAACTTTACAAGGCGCAAGTTCGGCCACTCATGGAATACTGCTCCTATCTCTTGGCTGAGGCTCCCCAGTGCTAGCTCCTTCCACTTGACCACCTCCAGCTTAGAGCGGCTCGAATCTTCGAAGACCGAGTGCTTTCCGATCGGCTCGATTCACTGGCGCTGCGAAGAGTTTTTTTCCGCATACGACCTCTCTGTGGAATAGTTTACCACCGGTGATTTTTCCAGACCGATACGACCTGAGGGCCTTCAAGAAAAGAGATTACACCTTTCTAATGGGTCATCAACGCACTTGCAACTCCTCTGGTGTGCGGTTGTTCATGGGCTGCGGTAGTCACTTAACATCAGGTGAACCGTATGCTCGTTTGCCCCATCCTCTATAAAAAAATCATAAAAAAGCAAATTAACTGTCTTTAATGTCGAACATTAAAGTTAGATTTGATAATAATTAATTTCAATATGCTAATTTTTATAATATAAATATTACAAAGAAAAATAAAACAAAGTTGCATGTCTACTAAAGAATTTGTACGTAATATATAGGAATTAATAATATCTCAAGTAACTTACTAAGAAACAAATAAATAGTAAATAGGGATCCTTTACTCGTACCGTGTCCGTTAGACTAAACCATCGTTCTACACTCTTACCTTTTTCTTTTCCGCTCGATTTGCAAGTACCTCTCTCCATGCGTTTTGTATAACTCTCGCAGCATGTTCTAATAGGAACTTATTCATCTTCTCTGCCATTTCTCGATCGTACTCTGCATCTCGTTCTTCCATTAATGGTATATATTCTTTGTCCTGCTCTGCTAATTCCAACTAGATTGTGACAAACAAATTAAAATTAATGGTTTCTTCTGTGGCTCCAAAACCTCACTAACTCAAAATTTTATTGATATTAAATAATATAAAGTATATCATATTCGAAATTTAAACTTCTGGAAAGTGTAACTAGATTTCGAAACATAAGAGCGTACTCCTTAACTGCATTTCTTAAATTCTTTCTAGCACAACTTCTTTGTGGAATCGGCTACCACCTGCGATTTTTCCAAACCAACATAAGTTACCTTCAAAAGAGAAGCTTACTTCTTTTTAAAAAGCTGGAAACGCACCTGCAATTTCCCTGGTGTTGCGATTATTAAGCGGTAGTCACTTAACATAAGCCGCATGCTCTGTTCCCCTTGCCCCCTCTAATCAAAAACTACATTTAAGTACATCTGTGTTGATACCGCCCTTATTTCTGCCGCCAACAGGAGTTCACTTGTGAGTTTCGTTAATAATATGTGTAACATCGATAGACATACTATGTTGTATCAACGTGACTTTGTTTGCTTATTGTTGGTTGCAAATGTTACCTTGGATACATTCAAGGAAACTATCAGTATTCTTTATAGAATAAGGGTGACAAACGAGCACATAGTCCACCTGATGTTAAGTGGATGCTGTGGTCCATAGACATTTACATTTATCCTTCATTAATAATCAAAATGCAGATGCGTTGTCACCCATTAGGACTAAGATGTAATGCCTCGTTTACAGTAAAAAAGGTCTCCTGATTTATACACTCACCACACGAGCAGTAGCATTAAGCTGCTATTTTTCGCCGGTATTCCGTGAGAGCGTGGTCCTTTCCCGGTCGAGCCGACCCGTTCGTGCTACAACCATAATATAGCCTCTACCACGTATAGCCACGTAGCTCATTTGTCTCTTAATATAAGCCATAGAAAACTAAATAAACATGTTTTTTTTTAAAGAATAATACGAGTAATAATGATACCAACTTTACAAATTGTCCCTTTAGCCGCTCCAATTAAGAAAAAATTTAAAATGTTTGTATTAAGAGTGGTTCGTGACAGCTTAAATTAGAATAAACGCATTCCTTTCTTTGTTTTTTCTTTCTTAGTCTAATGACGGGTTTGACCCCACGACTTTCTAAATTTCCATTCCACACCCTTATACATCAGGCTACAGTCACTTCTGAGTTTGTGATTTATGTTCTGATTGTTTGTGAACATAGTACATTAAACTGGTTATCTATTCCTCACATGTCACTAACCTCTAACTCCTCACACTTCTTTAGCTCATCTTCGTACTTCCCCGTAAACTCATCGAGCTCTTTCTGCTTGTCGCCCATTTCCACATCGTACTTTTGTAGCCACGATAGCAACTGAGTTTCCACTTTAAGTCTACAATTTCATGACGTTAATCGATAAAAAAATCGTGATCATTGACAGGTGAATTAATGACGCAGAACCAGCTTTTGGCGTTGTGCTAAGTCGCCTGTCCTGATAATTTACACCTGGCGTAAACGAAATGGTTATACCGCCATCTATGGTGTATGCTATAAGATTTTTCTGGAATTTCTTATAAAAACCTTTTACGACACCAAAAGGATGAAATGGGGTGATCGATCCCCTTACGCCGTCACCACCCGGCAATGAGCGCTGCTATGATGATTAAAATTGGGGACGTAGAAACTCTACCACATGGAGCGAATATCATTACTTGCATTTATCCCATCTAAATAAAACCCTCAGATTTTTTACTTCATCTGAGATAAAACTTAATTACTGACCAAATTGTCGATGCCGCTAAAGCAAATACATCGATTTGGCAACAATTGGATATTAGGGTAGCGGCAAAAAGCAGGCCTGATTTCGAACATTATGGTAATTTTAAATAAACTAATTTGTACACTGTTTTCTGCACCAACAGAATATATGACAGATTCTATTGGTAAAGCATCCATGCGGAAATGTTTCATTAAACATTTTCGCTGCGATAGAAGCACAGAAATCTAAATAATAAGGCAATATTATTTAGATTTCTGTGGATAGAACGCTATGTAATTATCTGTCTTGTCTTGTAGAAAAAGATAGGTGTAGCTTAGTATGTAACATTTTGTTACATAAATCACACTATACGAGAAACAAAAAACACGGTATTGCAATGTTAGAAATTTTTCCTACATTGATGCAGCCAAGTCGTCATGGTTAAAGTAATCCTTAGACTAAGAAGTTAATTAAAATCAATTAGAATTTGTTATCGGAAGATAGCGACTAAAGTCAATTTTGTTTCAAATTAAAAATCCTTACATAACCAGACTTGACCCTAACGAAGTGAATTTAAAGATAATTATATCTCTTTACAAAAAGACAAAATTTTAGCATAATAAGCAAGGTTGGTATGAGCATGTACCAAGCTGATGATTTAAAATCTTAATTTATTCACATGGTTCGAAGAATAAATATTTAAAAAAGATTTCATGCACTCTAAACAAATAGGCATCTAGAAAGAATAGCAATTCCGCAATTCCACATGAAATCAGTTACTTCCAATCGGAATTTATCATTGGAATGGAATCAGTTACATATTTGAAATTCAATATATCAAAATATCTCCAGTCCATAATGTCCAATTCAACAATTTAACAATATTATACAAACAAAACTATTGACATGGATGATGGTACCTCCAAACAAATTTTAATCGAAGCATATTAATGAATACCTTACAAAGTTGTCATTAAAATACATTGTGAAGTTTAAAGTAAAATATTATAGACGATCAGTCACTAAATAGGATATGGATAATAGACCAACGTATTTTCTTAAAAATAACAATGAGCAATTTTTATTTTTTACATCAATACTTTTAATATTTGTCCTCCAGAAAGAATTTCGGCCACGGCTACCTGCCTCAACGGAGGCTAACCATCGGCACAGGACAGGATTATAGTGCCCAAGTGTATGCGCAAGCACAGGTACACCCTCATAATCCGATGGGACGGTAAACCGACACGACCGGAGAGGGATCAGGCGCAGGACCAACGGCTTTATGTGCTTTCCGAGGCACGGGGGTGAGACACCGCCCCGCACCGCACTTTTAATATACCACGTGTGTATATGAACTTTTAAATAAATATACGTAAGTAAATGAAAATATTAGTGGACATTTAAAAACTGTTACAGATTGTACAGAATAGGTATGATAAATAATTTCCCGTCTCGTTCTATCTTCGTAATAACGAAAGCGATTTTTTTCTCACCTACGCGCTCGTTGAGTCTTTTCATCAGCTAAATGCGCTTTCAAAAGCTGTTCGTAACTTTCTTTACTCTCATTTTCTTCTTCCTTAAGCATTTCATATTTAACGAGATGTGCACGAGTAGCCAACACCATCTGGCGCTCCGAATCAAGTCTGAAGTCATACAACACATCGTGTTATTAAAGTATACATAACAATAACTGTCTGCAAGCTGCGAGCTTAGAAGCTGAAAGCTTAATTCTCATTCATGGGAGCTGCAAAACACCCCAAAACGTAGGCGTATGTAAAAGTTTAAAAAAGGCCACTCAAAAAGTTTTGGGAAACTATAAACAATAAAAACTGTATCCCATAAATCATCATCATCATCATCATTATAGCCCTTCCCAAATCTAATGCTGAACATAGGCCTCCCCCAAGGAATCCCACAAAGCGTGGTCCTGAGCCACCTCAATCCATCGATTTTCTGCATGTTTTACCAGATCGTCACTCCATCTAGTGGGGAGACGCCCTACACTTGGCCTACCGATACGAGACTGCCACTCGAGAACCTTTCTTCCCCATCGATTGTCGGGTCTTCAATCTATATGACCGACCCATTCCCATTTCAGCTTACTTATCCGTTGAGCTATGTCGGTTACTCTAGTTCTACTGCGGATATCCTCAATTTTAAGTCTATCACGCAGAGAAATCCCAACCATAGCCCTCTTCAAATCTCGCTGAGCGACATTGAGTGTCCTCATACGTCCAGCAGTACTTCGCACTCTCCTCCTCCATCAACGTTGTGTTGAAGAACTACACACCGATTTCCTTTCTGAGCCGCGTCTCAGTCTCTCGCGTCTCTCGCGTCTACGCGCTGTTTTCGAGAGTCATTACGAGTCGTCTCGAACGCAGACTCGACGACTTCCAGCCTCCCGAACAAGCCGGTTTCTGATAAGGCTTTAGTACCATGACCACATACATACTCTTCGGCAAATTGTGCAGAAGAACGAAGAGTATAATCTGCCACTTTTTCATGCGTATGTGGGCTATGAAAAAGCCTTTGATTATATCGAAATTTGGGCGGTGCTAGTGATACGGTCCCTTCAGCGGTGCCACGTTAACTGTCGATATATCGAAGTGCTGAAGTGTTTGTACAGTAGGGCTACGATGTCTATTCGTGTACAGAATCAGAGTACAAAACCTGGATAGGTAACTGCAGAGATTTGTAAAACATGGTGACGTATTCTCCTCGAAACTCTTTACCGCTGCATTGGAAGACGTTTTCAAACTACTGGACTGTAAAGTATACGGTATTAACGTCAATTACGAGTACACAACTACCTTCAATTTGCCGAAGATTAGTCCTTATGGCAGAATCGTTGGAGAACCTGAGCACTATGCTCAATGATCTCAATAGTGCCTCCCAACAGATTAAGATCAACATGGACAAAACGTCCATGTCACACCTATGCCGTTAGTTGTTGGGAGCACTAATCTCGAAATTGTTGAAAATTATGTTTACCTGGGACAAATAGTCTGACTAGGTAAGTCCAACTTCGACCGAGAGGTCAATCGACGCATTTCACTCGGCTGGGCAGCGTTCGAAAGATTACGACACGTTTTCTCGATAGGCATACTTCAAAACCTGAAAACAAGCTTGTACAACCAGTGCTTGCTGCCAGTGATATCCTATGGATCTGAGACGTGGTATTTTACTGCTGGCCGTATGCGGAAGCTCAAGGTCGCTCAGCGAGCTATCCCATACAGCTGATTTTTATTTTAAATGAAAATATGTCAAAGCTTTATTAATTCAACTTTTTCGCAAAACTTTGGTTTGGCATATCGTACTAAGTTTCCAAATAGTGTATAGCAATATCCAATTAGACATGCGTAATAAATAAGTAAAAAGTAACTCATGATGACGGAAAGCTGATTACAACTTACCAACTATCTTTTACTTTAAGCAGGGATATAACCGGTAAGGTATTGTGGGTAAGGTTAAGCTTTGTTAAACGTCCTGCTTTTGTTGGAGAGTCCTACCTTTTTCTACTAATAGATTATCTCAGGACGATATCGCTTTAATGTTTATTAAATACATATTAAAGCGATATTAAACAAAGACAGATAAATAATGAAAGGTTTCTCAGAAAAATATTGAAGTCCATTTTTGTATGCCAAAACTTAATTGTGTATAAATACCAAAATATCGCATGCATAATAATAATAAAACATTATAGATTCATGGTGCAACCTGCAACTATAATTTACGTAGAAAAAACTTGTTCAACATTTTACATCAATATTATTAGGGGCTAATATGGCGCCGCGTAGTAAACGAGTTAAGCGATCACATGGCAGTTATAGAAATTTTCCCTATAAGTAGTCGAAAGATCTCAATAAACTGAGGAGTACAGACAATTTTTACTCACGGAAATGAGTAGAAGCCTGTGCCCAGTGGTGGGACATATATACTATAGACTGTAATTTTACATTCTAGGCTGATAAATAATACGCGTAGATAAAAATTTGTAGCCTTACATCTTTTTCTGCAGCTTTATGGTAGCCTCGTGATTTTGTGCTGCGAGCTCACTTTCCAAGTTAGCGATAATGTTAGCTTTGACTTTTATCGTCTCTTCGAAACGCTCTGTCTCCTCTTTCAACGTCTGTGAGTATTCTGCACCACAAATTTTTATTTGTATTTTATACTTGTTAGTAATAATATGGTGGTTGGAAATATTATTTTAGGCATTATTCTCAGAAAAAGAAACCTTTTTATAATGATTTCTTAAATTTACGCGAACACTACACATTGAATAAGTGAAGCACCGACGCTCTGGGAAGTCTGCAGTCTGCGAACATGTTCAAGATCGTCCCCACCATTACATTCGTTTTGATAAACCACAAATTCTCGCAAAAGAACACCGATTCCTACCAAGGATGATACGCGAGGCTATTGAAATTAAAAAACATCCAAATTTCAATAGAGAAGATGGATGGGTGCTGCCACCTGCTTGGGATCCTATAATTAACAAAATTAAACCCAAACCTAAGCATACCACTGCAAGACTTCATGATACTATAAGCTCGTTTTGCGTAAATCGGACCAAAAATTAATATTCAAAAACTGAAGGTAGCCGGACTAACTATGACATTGGGACGTCCAACATCTCCGTCCCCCCCCGTGACCATGGTTGCTGTAAAGCACCCGAAACGTCGGGAATTAAAAATAAGTAAAATTAGTAAAACAAACGCGATAAAATCCGTAAATTTAGTTTTATTCAATAAACCTTTTTATTTAAAAAACGTTACCCCCTGTCGGATTTTCTCCTATATCGTGAATGCGTTTTATATATATAAATTGCATATAAACCTGGATAATTCAGAGTTAAAAAATAATATATATGCCATACAAACAGTTGTTCCGGGTTAAAACCGAAGCCACGATCCAGAACTAATCCGCGAACTAATACACTAAGCCACCGCGCGAACGTGCCGTAGAAATCTCTTTAGAAGTTCATTGTATAATTAACACTTTATTTTATTCACCCTTATTTTAGGAAAAAAGAAAGAAGAAAGATTAATAAATTACTCATGCATTACGTCTTTATAAAAATATGCCAGCCAGCAAAGTCTGTGACTACACAATAATAGAATACCAGCGTGAAATAGCAGCTTACCGTTGCTGCATTACGTAGGGTTAGTGTAAAATCAGAGAACCGGGGACCACTTTTAGTGAAAACGGGGCATTTTAGTTTCTTTCACATTTTAGTTCTCACGGATGATAGCACATTTGTATTTGATCCTAAATCTAAAATCGATAAAGACGTCTATGGCCCACAGCATCCACTTACTATCAGGTGGTCTGTTTTCGTTGTCACCCTTATTTAATAAAAAAAACTACCTGAAGATTTGTCGTAGTATCAAAAGTAGTAGTTCAGGATCTAGCGTGTAAGATCCACCATTAACCACTCGAATGCCGAAGTACTATGTAAGTATATAACAAGAATGAATATATATATATATATATATATATATATATATATATATATATATATATATATATATATATACTAAGTAAGTACGTTAAAATCAAATATCAATGGAAACGTTATTAAATAAGCTATCAGATTATGCATAACAGTTATATATTTTGAAGCGAAAGTAGCCTAATGGCAGGGCGCGGATCGCGAACTCAAAAGGTCGTGGGTTCGAATCCGCCATTTGACTACTGTCGTGAACCACTCCTAACACAAGCATTTTCAAGCTTACCAGGAGTGGTTAAAAGGAATATTAGTAATGTTAATTAATAAGATTACTAATATTTAAAAAAAAGAATATGTTATATATATGTATGTTATATATATCATATATATGTTACAAATAGTGCTATCACACAACGCCATATTATGGCGTTTGACAGATGCGCATATTATTTGAGACGCTAGAATATGGCGTTTGGACAGACGAGGGGTTAAGTAACTCGACTTACTTTTAAGATATTGACGTAAGATAATCTGTAAACCGAAGCACGATACGACTTAGGGACCTTCAAGTAAAGAGCTTACTCCTTTCTAAAGGGCCGTCAACGCACCTGCAATTCCCCTGGTGTTGCGGATGTTCATGGGCGGCGGTAGTCTCCTACCATCAGGTGAGTCGCATGCTCGTATGCCCCTTCTTCTATAAAAAAACACGGGAGTAAAAATCGCCAACTTCCTGACTTCAGGCTGAGGGTGTCTTATAAAAAATTTAAAGAAATAAATATATTAACTTGGTCCTCTCGGTATATCAACTAAAATTTAAAAATTTTATGTATGTTCACAAAAACAAAGGTAGTTTTAGTAAAAAAGTGATATACACTCTGTAAACACTATAGAGGAACAAAAACACAAGCCAGTGATATCAGTTTCTCGACTCCATAGTCAGTAATTCATTATTGGGGCAATGTATACAAAGTCCCAGACTATATACAATGTCTCTCTTTTACCAAGTTTAATTATTTAATTAAACAAAAACTATATAAAAAGGGTTATTATAATATAAATGAATACATGGTTGATAATAACCTCTGGAGAATGAGGTGGTCACTTCCAAGCTGTTTCTAAAATAAATTTTGTAAACATTTTGTGACCATTGACATTGTAAAATTATTTCTTTTAAAAGTCCCGCTGGGTTTCTTGCTGGTTCTTCCCGGAACAGACGGTTTTTTTTTTCGAACCAGTGGTAAAGTAAAAAATGACTTTCAATAAGAATTACAACATGTAACATGTAATTGAAATAAAAATCCTTCTAAGTTACCACGAAACTGCACATCACTCGATATGTCGACGCCGAGGATTCCGATACTGGCTGCGGCAACAAGGAAAGTGCCTTGAAACTGAGGAGATACGACCAAGGGGCTCTTTTTAACGGTAAACGCGTAAACTTGTGTCTTCTGGGGATTGAACTGAACTAGATTTAGTCGCCCCAGAGGAACTTTGTTCAACAAAGTCGCGACTTCAGACACAAGTTTGTCCCGGTACTCGGCGACGTTTTCCTGAGAAATTGGCACAGCCGGTGTATAAAGCATCACCAGTGCTGTAGTTTGCATAGCAATGAATGTTACCAGTTTGCAACATGTCATTGATATGCAGAAGAAGCAACCTTGTTCTCTGTAATCGGAGAATGCACCGTCTACTTCGACCTTTGTTCCGATCTGCAAGAAAACTGGTGATCCAATTGGACTATTTCTCGGTAATCCCGTGGGAAGGAAGCTTCGCAAGAAGCGCTTTGTGCCAAACCTGATCAAAGGCCTCCGCTATGTCCAAACTAACGGCCAACGCCCCTCCCCCTTGGACTCTACTGCCTTCGCCCATTTATAAGTTAGGTAACCGAGAAGATCACCAGCCGAGCGGCCGCGATGGAAACCGTACTGGCAGCCACTAATCAGCTGGTGATCCTCAAAGTACCGCATGAGCTGGCTATTAATAATGGATTCCATTATTTTTGCGAACAAGGATTTAATGGCAATAGGCCTATGGTGGGACGGATCAGAGCGGTTACTTTTTTTAGGAATGGGGTGCACGAAAGCTGTCTTCCATGATTTACGCCTAGGGAGTAGGAATACCGGAAAAGGTGCATTAAAACTGTCGCCAACTCCGGAGCACACGTCTTCAGCACATCGCCATCAGACAGACGCCATTAAGCCCACTCGACTTTTTGACGTCCAGGGAGGAGGAGTGCTCTGCGCTGGGTAAACAGCACATCCTGCATGGAGCATTCAGACCGTGGGATGATCGGCGGTTGTGTTCCCTTCGTCATCAAGAGTCCTTTACGGTATGGTCCAGCGAGCCGTCCTCCCTGTGCAGAGATGGGAGAGTGGCTGACAGAAGTTCCCTTGGACAGCCTTGGCAAGAGACTAGAATGTACGTGTTCCCAAAAGAAGACGAACTAGTTTTTCGCCAATTCTGCCGATTTGCTCTGACTTTGCCTTGACAATTTACTTCCAAAGTATAATTCTGCCTCCATTTAACTCGGCTGGGCAGCGTTCGTTGCCGTGTAGTGGCGGTTAAGAATATCCACTACCCCATATCTTCCCATGGGTGTCGTAAGAGGCGACAGAGGGAGACAGGCAGGAGATGGACAGCAGCATCTTCCTGATAACAGCAACTGTACGACAAAAAAAATGCGGTTGCCAACCCGCTCGCCAAGCGTGGCAACTATGGCAATATACCCCCCCATGAACAATTATACAAATAGACGGCCCTCAGTCCCCGGCGGCCCCGCTATTCCTGGCTACGGTGGCGACCATGGTAACGGCGGGGCAAGGGGTGCTAAGAATCTCCGGTGGAGGTTCGGTTGCCACCTACGACGACTCGACCTGGCAACATTTAACGCACGCACCCTGAGGACTGACGAGAAGATCCTGGAGCTGGAAGAAGAGATGGACAAGTTGCGCTGGAGTAGGGTAGGGCTGAGGTCCGGTAAGAGAGGGGGAGGACACGGTGATTCTCGAATCCGGCAACTTGTTCTATCACCGGGAGGGCGACCATCTGTCACAAGGAGGTGTCGGATTTATCGTCCACAAGTCTCTCGTCAACAATGTTGTAAAAATTGGGAGTGTGTCGACGAGGGTCGCGTACCTGATACTCAGAATCACCAAACGGTATTCGCTGAAGGTCATACAGGTTTACGCACCAACCTCGGCACATCCCGATGAGGAGGTGTGTTTTATGATTCCTCCAAAACCCACTACACGGTGTTGATGGGAGACTTCAACACAAAACTAGGCACAAGAGAAAGCGGTGAGTTGAAGTTAGGGAAATTTGGAGTAGGGCAACGGAACCGAAGGGGCCAGTAGCTGGCCGACTTTATGGAGAAAGAGGGACTCTTTATGATGAACTCTTTCTTCCAGAAGCGGCCCCACAGGAAGTGGACCTGGTCGAGCCCCGACGGTTCGACAAAAAATGAGATTGACTTCATTATGACTACCAGACGCCAACTGTTCAGTGATGTCTCAGTGATCGCATGGGTGAAAACTGGCAGCGATCACCGAATGGTTAGAGGCACACTGAACCTAAACGTTAAGTTGGAGAGGTCTCGTCTAATGAAGTCAACGCTCCGTCCCCCTCGTGCTCTAATCCAGAATCCCGAAAACTTTCAGCTCGAGTTACACAACCGCTTTCAGTGCCTACAAGATTGCAATGCAGTGGACGATATGAATGACAAGCTCGTGGAAACTGTCCATGCGGTCGGAGCTAAGTTCTGCAAGACCCACCGCAGAAGAACACAAAAACTCTCCGATCACACTCTTAATCTCATGGCTGTTAGACGGGAGATGAGGCTGCAATCGTCAACAGATTTGACAGCATACAGGCAACTGAACAGACAGATCTCCAAATGCATGCGGCGAGACTTACGCAACTTTAATACTGCTCGTATTAAAGAAGCGATCGAGCGGAACCAGGGCTCCAAAGTCTTTGCCAGAGATCTGTCTGCCAGAAAGAGCCAACTGTCAAAGCTGAAGACTGAATGTGGCAGCATCGTTTCCGGGACACCTGAGATGTTGAGTGAGATTGAGAGGTTCTATGGGCAGCTGTACACATCATCGTTGGAGCCACACGCAAGTGTGAGTAACGATCCAAGAACAAGTCTTATCCGACACTATTCCGATGATATCCCGGACGTCAGTCTAAGCGAGATTAGAATGGCTCTCCAGCACCTTAAAAACGGCAGGGCCCCAGGCGAGGATGGAATTACAGCGGAGCTTCTGAAAGCGGGTGGAACACCGGTACTGGAAGTCCTTCAGAAGCTCTTCAATTCCGTCCTCCATGGTGGCACTACTCCGGAGGCGTGGAGCAGAAGTGCGGTGGTCTTGTTCTTTAAGAAAGGCGACAACGCTCTCTTGAAGAACTACAGACCAATTTCCCTTCTGAGCCGCGTCTACGTGCTGTTTTCGAGAGTCATTACGAATCGTCTCGCACGCAGACTCGACGACTTCCAGCCTCCCGAACAAGCCGGTTTCCGAAAAGGCTTCAGTACCATAGACCACATACATACCCTGCGGCAGATTGTACAGAAGACTGAAGAGTACAATTTGCCACTTTGCCTGGTGTATGTGGACTATGAGAAAGCCTTTGATTCCGTCGAAATTTGGGCGGTGCTGCAGTCCCTTCAGCGGTGCCAAGTTGACTGTCGGTATATCGAAGTGCTGAAGTGTTTGTACAGTAGGGCTACGATGGCTATCCGAGTACAGAACCAGAGCTCGAAACCTATCCAACTGCAGAGAGGTGTAAGACAGGGTGACGTTATATCCCCGAAACTCTTCACCGCTGCTTTGGAAGACGTTTTCAAGCTACTGGACTGGAAAGGATACGGTATTAACATCAATGGCGAGTACGTCACTCACCTTCGATTTGCCGACGATATAGTCCTTATGGCAGAATCGCTGGAGGACTTAAGCACTATGCTCAATGACCTCAATAGTGCCTCCCAACGGATAGGTCTTAAGATGAACATGGACAAAACAAAGATCATGTTTAATGTCCATGTCACACCTATGCCGGTAGTTATTGGGAGCACTATGCTCGAAGTTGTTGACGAGTATATTTACCTGGGACAAATAGTCCGACTAGGTAAGTCCAACTTCGACCGAGAGGTCAATCGACGGATTCAACTCGGCTGGGCAGCGTTCGGGAAATTACGACATATCTTCTCGTCAGGTATACCTCAATCTCTAAAAACTAAATTGTACAACCAGTGCGTGTTGCCAGTGATGACTTACGGATCTGAGACGTGGTCCTTCACTGCTGGCCGTATGAGGACGCTCAAGGTCGCTCAGCGAGCTATGGAGAGTGCTATACTCGGAGTTTCTCTGCGTGATAGACTCAGAAATGAGGATATCCGCAGTAAAACCAGAGTGACCGACATAGCCCAACTGATTAGTAAGCTGAAGTGGCAATGGGCCGGCCATATAGCTCGAAGAACCGATAACCGATGGGGATGAAAGGTTCTCGAGTGGCAGCCTCGTACCGGTAGGCGTAGTGTAGGGCGACCCCCCACTAGATGGAGTGACGACCTGGTAAGATATGCAGGAAGTCGATGGATGTAGGTGGCTCAGGACCGTGGTTTGTGGCATTACTTGGGGGAGGCCTATGTTCAGCAGTGGACTTGTGAAGGGCTGTAATGATGATGATGATGATGATGGGCAGCGTTCGGGAAATAACAACACATCTTCTCGTCAGATATACCTTAAAACTTAAAAACAAGATTGTACAATTAGTGCGTGTTGCCAGTGATGACTTATGAATCTGAGACGTGGTCCTTCAATGCTGGCCATATGAGGAATCTCAAGATCGCTCAGCGAGCTATAGAGAGGGCTATGCTCGAGGTTTCTCTGCAAAACTTAGAAATGAGGATATCCACTGAAGGTCCAGAGTGTCCGACATAGTGCATTTGGCTCAAAACCGTGCCTTGTGGCATTCCTTGGGGTTAATCATCAGTGGAGTTTAGGGCTGTAATGATGAAAATGATGACTTGAAATAGATAAAAGTGATAAAATCTTGGGTAACCTTCAATTTTTTGGATTAGTTTGTTATTTGAGGCTTCCAACTTTTTAGTTTTAATTTTAATGGCCAGTTCCTCAGCGGCAGTGGTTTCCATTTGCTTAATCATAAGGTCGCGAAAATTTTCAAAAGCAATAAGATATTTTAGTCCAGGAGAAATTTGGTTTCCCTGTAAGTAAATATTATAAAACATATAATTACGATTTTATATAAAAATATAACCAAATCGTATGACTTCATTCATCAACATATACATAGCGTCTGTTATCCCTTAAGGGGTAAGCAAAGTCCAAAATGCAGCGCGCTACTCGGACCACGTTTATTCGAAAAATATGGGTTTTTAAAAGTGATAGTCGGCTAGTCCAGCACCTACACGATCACAAACTCAATATAACATTAATCGCTTTTTAGGATATGCTTAGCAAGTTACACAATTACTACATTCTCTTTTGTAATAAGTCCTACATAAACATGGGACCTAAAAGACCACGACCAACATGGTATGCCTCATCAACAATTTAGGAGAATTTGTAAAATGTTACCGTCACCATACAACCTATCAAACATAAACATCTGAACATAGGCCTCCCCATAGAGTGCCTTACATGCCACCACAGAAAAAGTAATAATAAGACAATAGAAAAGAATTAGCGCTCGATTACTTCCAAAACCACGCCACATCTTATTAACATGCGTATTATAAACATGCGCAATGCACAATGATATCTGATAATGTTTCACATTACATTGCTTGGCGAGTTTGTTAACGTCGCGTATTACGGTAGAACAGCAATGGTAATTGTACAATACGAAAAGTAATAAATTAATGTTTACAAAGTTAAATATTATAGTAAACTATTCATCTAGAAGAAAGTTGGTTAAAACAAAGTTAATTAGTAAATAATCAATTTACCGATGTAACACGTCCTTGATAAGTTTTTACAACTGATTATAATGCAATTCACCATTATAAATTTATAATATCATAAATTTACGTACGACGTCCCCCGCGAAACTAAATCGCAAAATGGTGAATGATGTTCGTCAACACATAATAGCAGCGACAAGGTCACACGTTTATGCGACTTCTATTGTCTTATTATCACGATTTCTGTGCATGCCACATATATTTGCCTTGGTTGCCACACTTGGTTATTTGTTATTAGAAAGACGGTACTGCCCTTTTTCTTATCGCCTTTGATGACACCCACAGGATGATATGATATAGTAGATAAACGTACACCACATTTACCTCGCCAGTAGTCATATTACAAAATTGTAATTTTATACTTACTTATTATTTTACGGTCTAATTATGCTAAAGATTTTACAACAACGACTTACTCCTTTCTGCGCCTCTGATTTCATCTGAAAGATAGACATTAGTTCTAATAAACAATAAGCTCTACAGTAGTTGACACTATCATAAATAAATTACAGTGCCAACAACTTATCCGGCGAGAGCACAGAATAAATAATAGTACTACGTACAGAAGTTGCACTCCTTTGATGTCGACTGCTTACCGACGTTTAATAGACTACATTATTATTATTAATCAGATAAATCGCACACGCAAGCTAAATAAAACTTTATCGCTGCGCGCTAGTGTCCCATATTACGTTGCATCTTTTTTGTCACGGCAGACTTTCCGTGGTTATTAAGGGATGTCAATAGAAAGTAAAAAAATACATTGCGAAATGTTAATTATGTTACTTAGGTGAAGTACTAACTAATATTCTGACTATGATTGAACCATACTTTCGCCCACATGTGAGTTCTGCGATGCCTAACGCATGCAAATTGCAAGGTCATTCGTAGGGAATCGTAACGCTTGGGAGAAATAGGTAGATAGTGTAAACAACAAATAAACCTGAAATACGATTTCTAACAAAAATGTGATTATTCATTTAGTTAAAAATCTTGTTAGTATACAAAGTTTTAATTTCAGTATTTTGTGTTATTATAACTCAAAATATTTTAATTACAAAAGACAAGTATAGGTATGTAAGTAAATACTTGAATAGTGAAGTAAATTTTAACTAATTGTTGTGATACTTAGGTATTTCTTCTGTAGACCAAATTATTACTTAATTCTTTTTTTGCTGTGAGTATCCTACCTATCTAACAAAAAAATTAAATAAATTTTTTAACCTTTCATAAATTCCTTCAAAAATTCTTCGGTAACTTAAAGAATGATATGAAGCCTTTTGTTAGTCATTTCATTTAGTATCCATCTAAGAACAGTATAGTAGGAACGATGTTTTGCTATTATAATTTATCAAATAGGTTATATACATAATACCTATATAATTTTTAAATACATTAAAACTTTTACAACTATTTTTTACCTACAATTAAATATACTAAACCCTAAACAAAAACTATTTCAACAACTATTTAGTTAAAACTATTTACGTAAACAGCGGCAAAAAACTTTAACATTCGATCGCCACCAACGCGCCAGTCCTGACTGCGTTATTTCGCCCGGGCGCGTCGCGATTTTAGGTAATTATTTCACGCAGGTAGCAAGAGTGATAGAGGCCTAACGAGAGGCCGTCGTTTTATAAATAATGACATTTCGTTGTAAGCTATTATTTATTCTGTGCTGTAAAGAGAGTGCTTTGTTTGATTTCATTGCGAAAATCGCAAATAAATATAATTAGTTATGTAGTCACCTATTTCGTCGGTAAATTTCTTAAGTGGCAGTAATAAGCTCTCCACTAGCGACTCTGTCAACTGAAGAGTAAACTTGGTGGCACTATACTGCATCGTATTATTTCGATTTGCTAGTTTTATAGTGCCCCTAAACTTATTCGGTTTTCGGTTTCAAGAAGAATTAAAATATTGGTATTTAAAAATCTGAACATAAGATGTTTATTTGACTACCGGAAACTATGACAAATCTACGAGTATGATATTAATACTATTACAAAATTTCTATTTAAATATAGCATTTTGACATTGCCACAAGGGCACGCACACGCACACGCATATGCACATGCACACGCATTTGCACACGCACACGCGCGAGCACACACAAACACAAACACACAAATTCACACGAATGTGCCCCCTCTTTTAGTGGTTCATTTTTTGCTCTGGCGATTCCGTGCGGCAGCAACTCATGCTACGCCACTTTTAAATAGCTTATGTGTCTACTATGTCTCGTACCCAATTGGGTTGAAGCAATATTTTTGTATTACCTCGTCCACCATCTCGTTGATTATCGGCTTCAACGCAGGGTAACCGCCCATAATGTAGAGCAAGAGGCCCAGCTCTGGGTTCAAACGATTTTTCAAAGAAATGTCCCCCTATAATGCAAACACAACATAATATAAAAACATAATTTAATATCAGAATCGCCTACACCTTTATAAAACTTAATTATTATACCGGTATAAAATTCTAATTTCCTAATACGCAACAAGTTACACTTCACGCAACGACGCACATTTTGTAGTTTTAACGGAAATCCATGAAATCCAAACCATGGTCCTGGACTTAAATATAGACAAATGTACATAAACAGTTGGAGCCTTTAAATGCATTTTTTTGTCCGGAAATTAAGTAGACATGTTGTCATTAAGACATTTAATAAATACGTAATAAAACACTACCTATACTAAATTTCATGCCCCGGCTTCACTTGGGTGCTTTACATGTAGCGTTATTTAGATTTAAGGAAATCTATTTTTCATTTAAACTATTTTTTTAATCTTCAAGTTTTTCGGACATAATATAGCCTAGATCGTTCCTGGTGTTGCTCTCTACCTTTCCCTGAAGTTCCACTACAATCGGTTCAGCCATTTTGAAAAGTAGGTCAGACAGACAGACAAAATTAGACAGACAGATAAAAATTTTAAAAATTGTTATTCATATCTTAATGACAAGTAAATAACACTATTTCAATATTAAAGACAGACACTTTAATTTTATTTAATCGTGTAGATATAGACCCCAGATTTTTTTCTCACGAGAACCAAACGTGAGTGCCAAATTTTTACTCGATAGCTTCAATGGAAGTGTGTGAAATACTGATTGCAAAACTCCAGGTCATGCATACAAGTGAAGTTAAATGAAAACTTTTAAAAATACATCAAGTTTTTAAAACGTTTACGTACGTATACAGAGCAAAAATTATTAATATTTATTCTGACATACACAATATATATATAAGACTACTTTTAAAATATTGGTACCTGAATACTTTTGAATAACATCAGACGTTAATTAATATGGTCAATGTTAACATTTAGTTACCTTTGTTGCAAGTTTATGTTATACTATTTGTATTTAAACTATGTATAGTTGCCCCCAATTTGTACCTGCGGGTTTAGCCATTACTGATTGAAAACCCTGTATATATATATATATATATATATATATATATATATATATATATATATATATATTGAAAAATATAAATATGTTACACAATATTAAAAAATTGAGCTTACTGCTTTTAGGTCCTCCATAGCAGCCATATTCAGTAGACTAGTAGACAACAAAGGGCTGTCATACTGCTCGAAAATGAGAACGAGGTCATCCATGTGTTCATCGGAAATGATAGTGCTGAGAGTCCGGTATTCCTTCACCAGGTTGGGCAAGCAGATCGCTAGCTTCGTCTTGTAGATTGCCTCGTTTAGAATTTTAGTAATGCGCTCCGCTTGAATATGGCACTCCAAGTCGATTGGCGACGTCACTATAAAAAACGATGTTGATAGCCCTTAGTACAAAATTTTCTATAAGTTTAAAATATACTTAGTGATATATGACTGCCTCATTGGTCTAGTAAGTTCAATTGCTGATCATTCGGTTCCGGGATCAAATCCCGAATCCGAAATTCTCAGTAACAGCTCGAGGTCAGGAAGTTAGTTGTGTTACATCCCGTGCTTCTCATAGCACGGGATGTACATACCCACTATGAGTGTGAGGAAATATAGAGTGCACCTGTACTTGCGCAAAACGAAAGACGAAATTTAGTCTGGAGGACATTACTAGTTGTTACGACTCTTATTGTCGCTATGTCCTATCGTAAGTAATCTATTTTACCGATTGATGATTTAAGAAGCGCTAACATTTTTAAAGTAAGTACAAAAATCAATTGCTGTCCGTCTGGCTAACATAAAATACTATAATACACAATATAATGGCTGTCAACCTTACTTTGTAGAAGGATTGGCATCGCCGGGAGCACACATACAAGCAATTACGTCGTATTATCAGTTATCACTACTACAAACACATTTTAGACTTTTGACTAATGTTTTTGACACATGTTTCCTTCCTTTTGTTTCAAATATTCACAAATGTAGTTTCGACTTACTGGTTGTAGAATGTCTCCTTTATTTAAATTCCATTTCCCGCTGTTCTTTCGACACGTAATTATGGCACAATTTGGATTTTTTTATATTATTTGCGTGCAGCGACGCTTGACACGAAAAATTTATAACAATTGATTGTGTTGACAATTATACGTGTGAATTGAAATGTTAGTAACATGTTAGTGGCTACACGGGCTACGCCCACTCCCCTGTTCTATTATGTATGTACTATAGTATTCTATGCTCGCTAAAACCAAAAAACAACTCGGCCAATTTTGATGAAATATGTGTGTGTTTGAATGGGTCCCTAGATGGTTTGGATTCACATTTGGACTCGGTAGGTGGCGTTGTTCTCGAGATCTAGAAATCACCCGTGCGCAGTCGGGGTGGATAGCTAGTATACAATATTTACCATTATCCTTAGTGAAGTCTTGATCCATTTCCTTGCTGGCAACGGTACCCGATTTGCTACTTCCTGATTTTGAACTCTCAGAGAAAGTAGAAGGGGATTGTAATGCTCCTAATGATTGGGATTCCATTGAATTTTGTTTTTAAAATCTATTGGAGTTATAATTGTATAATTATTTTCTCACGTAAAAAAGAGTCCAGTTGAACGCGCTGTCAATGTTTTTGACAAATTATCCGTTGCTAGGACAACGCAATCGTTAAAAAGAAATTTATCATATACATAACGATTGCGATTACCGATGTACGAGTCATAGACTTACTTAGGATAGTATATTCTAAGTCTATGGTACGAGTATATTTAATTAATAATGATGTCATTAATTAACATCATAAACAAAGTTTAATACAAACAAAGAGATTTATGATATATACACTATACGTAGACAGAGAAACCTATAGACAAATTAACGCCTTCTTTCGCATTCGCACGTGAAAGAGATAGATTTATGTATACGTCTTGCATAGAAATGAGACAGAGCGGTGTGATTGTTTATCCCCTTCTCCGTGCCGGTTTTTTTGTTTAGTTGTTTAGTTTTACTCTTTGCTAAACAACTTTGACAGTTCGTAGCTATGTAAGGAGTTTACAAGTTGGTTTAAGTAAGAAAAAAAGTGTTTTGTGAGCTTAAGATTGGTGAATCTTGTTCAGTTCAGTTCTTCGAACAATTAAAATTTTTATCCAAATATGTTTAAAAGTCATAAAGAATATTGTATAACCTAAAACTACGTTATCGTCCTTTCTCACTCAAGTCCACGCTAATCGTTAGTCTATAGGTTTCTCTGTTTACGGCACTATACTACTACTATCATTGAATTATATATATATATATATATATATATATATATATATATATATATATATATATATATATATATATATATATATATATATATATATATAGGAATGAAACGTAAGGGAATGGAGTGAAACGGAACGTAAGTGTGGGAGAAGGGGGAACGGAAGCGTGCGTGACTTAAGTGCATTAATTAATTAAAAAGGTGTTAAACAGTGAAAATAAAACAAACTATTCATTATTCTCGCCTTTTATTAAGAGGTCTTCCAAAATCTCACATAATTTTGATGTCAGAAGTGGGATAGCCTAAAATTAATCGAGTTTCAATTTACGACGGCACGTGGTCACGGCGCGCAGCGGTACGGGCGCAAGGCGGCGACGGTGCAGCACATTAATATAAGAAGGGGGATTATCCGATGGGAGAAAATAACGACGTTAACGAGGTTAAGAAGACTACAGCTCAAGACGCGCCGCAAGAAAAGGCTGTAAAAGATTCACAAGACGTAAAAATGGCGGCGGAAAGCTTTTCAAGCATGGTGGACAGCATCGCGAAGTTTAGTGGTGATGACAAGACTTATTCGTCAACAAAGTGGGCTCAGGACATCGAAGACAATAAGGAGGTTTTTAGCTGAACAAATCAGCAAACATTAATAGTAGCGAGAAGATCCTTGACAGGCACGGCTGAACTGTGGCTACGATCAGAAAAAGTTTTTAAGACGTGAACCAGTACTGATGATTTTTGACCAGAAGCTGCATACAGAACTTCATTCAGATGCATCTAGCATAGCTCTAGCCTCTATTCTCATGCAGAAGAATGAAGAAGGAGAAATGCACCCTGTATATTACAGGAGTAGAAGGACGAATGACATTGAAAGTTGTTATTCAAGCTATGAGCTTGAGGCACTCGCAGTAATAGAAGGTGTGAAAAAGTTTCACCACTACCTCTTTGGCAGGTACTTTAAGATTGTCACAGACTGTGAGGCATTTGAGCTTACCTTGAAGAAGAAGGAGCTAACACCAAAGGTGGCCAGGTGGGTATTACTTCTCAGCGAGTATGACTATGATGTCGAACATCGAACGGGATGCAGGATGCCACACGCAGATGCGCTCAGCAGAATCCCATATGTATCTGCAGTGGTAACATTGCACGAAAAGATCAGCCTCAAGGTCTCAAGGCTATAAAACAGCTGATTTTGACAGATGGCCAGTATAATGACTATTATGTGGAACAAGGAGTGCCTTACAAAGGTGATCAGAGACAACTGGTGGTTCCCAAGCTAATGGAAAAAGAAGTAATCAAGCAAGTACATAGCAATGGTCACTTTGCTATGAAGAAAATGAAAGAAGCAATAAGCAAAGATTATTTTATAAAGAATATGGACAGAAAAATCGAAGGAGTGATTACCAGTTGCATACCGTGTCTGCTAGCAACCCGGAAAGAAGGCAAACAGGAGGGATATTTAAACCCTATTGGAAAAGAAGGAACTCCGCTGCATACTTTGCATCTGGACCACATGGGACCGGTAACTGAGACACGAAAGATGTACAATTACATACTCACAATAGTCGACGGATTTACTAAATTTGTGTGGCTGTACCCCACAAAATCAAGACTAGTGCAGAAGTAATAAGTTAAGGTACAGTTGCACCAAGAGACGTTTGGAAACCCTGTACGTATCATAACAGACAGAGGCACAGCTTTTACCAGTGGAGCATTTAAGAAGTACTGCGAAGATGAAGGTATACAGCATGTCACCATTACAACCGGCATACCAAGAGGAAATGGCCAAGTAGAGCGGGTTCATCGGATAATGATACCCATCCTGACGAAGCTGTGCATCGAAGACCAGTCACTATGGTATAAACATGTTGGACGTGTGCAAAGAGCAATTAATAGTACTTACTAGAGAAGCATAGACACCACACCGTTCCAACTGCTCACTGGAACCAAGATGAACTGCAAGGAGGATGTAGAGATATTAAACTTACTACTCCAGGAAACTATAGCGCAATACAGTGAAAGCAGAGAAAGTTTAAGGCAGAAGGCCAGAGATCAAATTCAAAAGATACAGGAAGATAGAAATACCTACAATAAGAAGAGGAAGCAGAGCTCTCAGTATGAGGTGGGAGATCTCGTCGCTATTAAAAGGACACAGTTCGGGCCAGGACTCAAGCTGAAAGCGAAATTCTTCGGACCCTATAAGGTAGTCAAGGTGAAACGCAACGACCGATACGACTTTGTGAATTTGTATCAAGGTACAGAGGGGCCGAACAATACAGCGACATCTGCAGATTTCATGAAGAGATGGCCTGAAGAAGATGACTGCGAGTAAAACAGGTATTGAGTAATAATATTTGTTCATAATTTTTTTTGTTTGTTTCAAGGTGTGAAAGTTTGAGACTGAATTATTAATACTAGGTAAACTTGATACTTATTATTTTTTAAAGGTGGTACCCTCAGTATAGTATTACCAGATCTCATAAAGTTGTAATAATGTGATATCTTAAGGTTCAGATTATTATGTAATTTTTTTTATTGTCAAAGATAAACAGATCTCGCAGAGCACTATAGTGTTATATTAAGTCAATAATGCAAATAAGTTTTCGTAACTTTCAGCAAGTGTGCGAACTTTTTATTTTAGCTGTTATGTCATATTATCTCATACTTGTATTGGATGTGTTTACTAAGTTGTAGAAATGCAAAGAGTCTATCTACATTGTTGACTAGGGTAAGTAATTGTTTAATTTTTTTTAAGTGCCATGAAAGATGTAATGTTTACTTATTCTGATGTATAAAGCAGGATATGCATAGTTTAACTGTTTACTCCAACAGAAAATGAACATGGCAATGGTTAAAGATTATTTTGTAATGTTAAGATGCTAGACACTAGAGATGTTAATGTATGATGTAAGATGAATGAATGATGAAAGAGGGAGAAGAACATATCTGCGGCAGATATGAGATCCAGGATGACCGAAATGTAGGAATGGAACGTAAGGGAATGGAGTGAAACGGAACGTAAGTGTGGGAGAAGGGGGAACAAAAGCGTGCGTGACTTAAGTGCATTAATTAATTGAAAAGGTGTTAAACAGTGAAAATAAAACAAACTATTTATTATTCTCGACTTTTATTAAGAGGTCTTCCAATATATATATATATATATATATCTCACTTACGCTAGTAATATATAAGTCAATGACCACTATACTTAAATGTCTTTAGAATAATTACCTAATAAAACAATATGTGTGGCTATATCTAATTAACTGATTACCTATCGGAGAGGTAAAGCAGCGTCTATAATTTTTTAACTTACTAAAACCCAGTGCTTGACTATAACCCACCCAGGTGGTGATGCTGAAGCCCTAGATTGTTGATCTTAGCGTAACAAAAGCCTGTTCCATCTTGCCTTGAAAACGCCCGGATTGTCGGACGGAAAGACAGACGTCGTTAGATTATTGCTGTCCCTTGCTGTACGCATTACAAAACACGAAGCAAGCCATTTGCTTCGCGTGCGTTGGATAGCAAAGGGGTGAACATCCACCGAATGCTTGGATGTGTTGTGTTGATGGAAAGATGAGAGATTAATTAAGGCATGTATTAACTGTGCGCAGAAATTTTTTCCGATGAGGTCACGTGTCGATGGTTAGTACCGTTAGCAAAAATACATGTTACCGTGAAACCTTACAACTTTGCCCATGGGGGACAACTTTGCTCAAACACGAAAATTAACTAAAACTGCCGATAGAAATTTAATTTTAACACGGGGCAACTTTGTATGGCACCTAGAGAAAACTAGAACATATGTTTGGCAACACTGACTACTACAACCGCAGCTAACTACATTCAGTCATCTGTCAGCAACCTTCAAAGGGACAGTGTCGAAGGTGCTGCAAAAACATTGTTGCAGTTTTGCATCCCGCATTGCCAAGAAACGCTGCGCAGGGAAGATTCATTATTATTTACGTTTAGGGCATTAATTGTTGCTGCTTTTAATCATGGTCTCTTTCTTACAACTGTCTTAGTTAGCGAGAAATTTGTGTGGGCAATGTTGTAAGCAATTTTATAGACTGAGGTCGACAACATTGCCCAGCTCAAAAATGTTAATAGGGTTGACACTATTGAAATAAAATAAGGAAACATGTACCTAGGCATAATAAATAATATACTTAATAAAATAAATAAATGTATATATGTACATCAAAAAAAAAACAATATAATACTACGCTATAATACTACCTATATAATATAACTACTGTTCACTGAGAACTAAACTACT